CATTAACAAGTCAAAATTGTCCTTCTCCCCCGCTCCGCCACCCTCATCAAGCCTCTCTGGCTGGGAGGACTGCGGGTCATTCACAATCGGTTCCGCAGTAGGGTGTCCGGCAAGTCAAATAAGAAAATGTTGAGCCCGTCCTTGGGCATTCACCTCAATAGTTTTATGGCTAGCTCTGGCTGCGCCGGGCTGCTCATGTTGTGTCTCCGCGGGCGTGCCAAACATCTTTTTGTCATCTGGCAAATCGAATCGCGGAGGGTCCTGTGGGGGGGGCGTTGGAGGCATAGTTAAGTCCTTCGAATTTCCGGCATCCGGCGCACCCGCCGGCGCTGTAGGCGGAGCGCCCCTCAAAGAGGGTTTCCATCGCCCTGACTCCGGATCCGCCCTACTTTGGCCAATTTCGTAAGTGGGGCCTGGAATTTCCGTGTTACTTTTCAAGCCCCGCTGATGCCAATTTCCGCCCTAATTTTCTGCTGCCGTTTCCGCCTTACTTTTGTGGATTTCCGCCCTACTTTATGTCGGGTGCGTGACCGAACGTGCGTCATGGGAAACCTATTGGATGTGTTCCGCGCTGCGTGGCTGCAGCAGGGTTCAAACATCTTTTTCCAGGTCGGTCCCACGTTGCGGGGTTGCCATGCGGACCTTGTCACTGAAGCCTTCCGTCGCGATTTCGATGGTGCCACGAAGCGCGTGAACGGTGTGCCGACATGAGCCGGGGCCCCATCCTGGAAGGCCCAAGGGGCCTCCCCAGAGCCCCGAGACGGAACGTGCCAAGTGAGATTATGCATCTAGCGCAGAATCGATGAATGTGCTCTGCGTTCGCGTCTTTCCTCACCTTTAGGGAGGACGCAGCCCCAGGGTGGTTTGGACGCGTGACAACACGCGGGCCCCTTTTCGACAGCAGACGTGACATCACGTGGGTCCCTTTCGCGCCAGAGCGCAATATACGAGAAAACACGTGAGTCAGCTTCGCCCAAGCAACACGCGTGAAAACACGTGGGCACGCGCAGGCCCCATTCGACTCCGAGCGCGACACGCGTGCAATAGCATGGGCCCCATTTGCCCCACAGCGCAGCATGCGTGACCTTACGTGGGTGCCTTCGCGCCGCAGAGCGGCGCAAACGTGCAAACACGTGGGTGCCTTCGCGCCGCGGAGCGGCACAAGCGTGAAAACACGCGTGTGCATTTTCGCCCCAGAGCGCGACACGCGTGAAACTACATAGGTCCTTTTTCGCCCCAGGGCGGAGCAAACCCCAGAATGCAACGAACGTGGAAACATGTGGGTCCCCTCCCGGAAGCCCCAGGAGGCCTCCCCAGAGCCCCAAGATGGAACGTGCCAAGCGATTGCGCATGTAGTGCCGAATCGTTGAATGTGCTCTACGTCCGCGCCCTCCCTCACATTTGGGAGGGGGGAGACCGCGCCCGGGCGGTCAGGACGCGTGACAACACGCCGGTCCCCTTTCGACCCAGAGCGCAGCAAGCGTGAAATCACGTGGGTCCCTCTCGCGCCAGGGCGCTTACGCTCGCTCCGCGTTCGGGCGAAAGGGGCCCAAGTGTGTTTTCACGCTTGCGGCGCTCTGGAGCAAAAGGGGCCCGCGTGTGTTCCACTTGCTCCGCCCAGGGGCGAAAGGGACCCACGCGATTTCACGCTTACTGCGAATGCTTTCACGCTTGCTCTGCCCTGAGGCGAAAAGAACCCACGTGCTTTCACTCTTGCCGTGCCCTGAAGCGAAAAAAACCAACGTGTTTTCACGTTTGTTCCGCCCTGTAGCGAAAAGGATTGGGGCGAAAGGGGCGGTCCCTCCACTCCTCCTAAACGAGCGTTTCGCTCGAGACGTCCTCAGCATTTTTGCGCTCAGGACGCGGCATCCTCGAACGGGCGCGCAAAACGTAAACTGTTCCATATGTTTGGGGAACTCTGAAAGTTCCCGAATTTTTTTCACTCATCAAGGATTCTGCGCAAAACGCTCCGCAAACTGCCTTCTATAACGGAAAACGAAGGTCAACGAACTTCCTCATTTATCAAAAACACGGCATGGGGGGGGCGCATTGTTTCGAGCGGGCACGCGCGAAATGTTTTCCATGCCGACTGGGACTTCAACTCGATTTTTATTGAGCGGATATCCGCCGGCCCACCCCGAACATGGCCCCGAGGACAGAGTACTTCCCAAAAAGAAAACCTTGGGCCGGAGAAGCCTCCGGAAAAAACCCTGGACCCAAGCCTTCTCCGGGACCTAAAAAAGAAACCTGGGTCCACGCCCGTGAAAGGAAACAGATCGACCCACGGAGCTGGAAACATGTTGTAGAACTGCGAGGCATGGCGACGTGTCCAAACACCTCAGTTGGGCGATGGGCAGTGGCAGCGCTGAATATATATATATATATATATATATATATATATATATATCACTGGTGATGAAACTGTGCCAAAGGCTGCGTGCGATGCGCCATGGGGGCGCACCAGGGGACTTGCCCGAACCGACTTAGATCTTAAGCTCGAGCTGCCTGACGGCCCAACTCGCCCAGAGCTAACTCAAATCGAATGTCGCAGAAGAAAAAATCAACTCGAGCTCAAGATCCGACTCTCTTACGAATCGGGACGCGACAACACAGAGCAGAGGTCGCATGGACTGACGACGAAAAGCAAGCAACCGGAGAAACTGAAGACGCAAGGGTGCCCTTGGGGATGCTGCCCGTCCTTACTATTGAACTTTCACTGTGCGCTTCCACGGCGGCCCATTCCACTGAATGCGTCTACGCTGCCCTCATTCTCGCAACTTCGGTGACACTTGCTTCTGAATGGGCTGGAACAAGTTTTTCCGTCGCAGCCACAGGCGAAGGCGCCCGCAGCGGGTCGAGCTGCTCGGGCTACGAACGAACCAAATTGCCGGCGCGCGCAGAAGAAAGCAGAACCTACCGCCAGGGGAACCAGCTGCGCCAGGGCCGCGCTGCAACCGCCGAGGCTGGGAACCAGCGCCGAAGGTGGGGGCTGCAAGCTGCTGGGGCTGCCAAGGAGCTGCAAACGTGCAGATACCATGGGAGCTGAAACGCCAGGTACGTGAATTGGACCTTGTCGCCACAGGGCGCCAGAAGTCATTGCGCCACAGACGTGGCGAAACGCGGGACCACGTGAGAGCCCAGCGGGTGACAGCAGACCCACGTGGGACGCGTAAGTCCGATCAGGTAGGCTGAACCATTGCTAGAGGGGATACTTTTTGGTCAACAGGCTCGCGAGGCGGGTCGAAAGCCGTCCGAACACTAGTCGGGCCGTGACTAGGCAGCAGGAAAAGAAAGGCAAGCGAAACGAGCGAGCGGACAGCCACTCAGAAAGAGAGCCGGAACCGATACTCCCAAACCGAGTGGCGTTGGAAATCCCGGTGGCGACCAGCAAGTAAGCGAAGCCAAAATGGCGCGGCGGCGCGACCATAAACACGCAGAGGCCGATCGCTCGGTGTGATTCAGACAAACAGCACCGTCAGAGACGAACTAAACCGACAGGCACACCCGGACGACATCCGTGCCGTAGGCGACACAACTGCCGAAACATCGTGTCGGCGCAAGAGTGAATAGGGGCAACCTCATCACCGACAGGACTGCGAACGGCAGTAAAACCTGCAACGCTCGTCCAAAGCGAAGTCCATGCAGGAGAGCGTCGGCCAACGAACTAGAGGGGATACTTTTTAGTCAGCGGCCGCAGGCGAGCGCGCCAGCGGCGAGTCCAAAACTAGAGGGGGTACTTTTTTAGTCAACGGCCGCGGGCGGAAGCGCCGGCGGCGTGTCAAGTCGATGCGGGTACGCGCCACAGACTAATTAACAGCAGAACTGGGGCACACTAGAGGGGATACTTTTTGGTCAGCGGTTCCGAGTCAACGGTCAGGGAGCGGAGGCGACGTCCGGGCCACGGGCGGGGCTAATTTGCAAGACAATTCGCCGCCAGCCAGAGTCGGCGGATAGACAGCTCGCACCTGCACACGCACTGAACAAAATTACCAGAATTCGAGAGGCAGACGCACCTAGGCGCAGCAGCCCTAACCACAGTGGGCAGGCCGCCGTGCCCGGTGAAAGTGAGAATGCCCCGAACGGAGTCGCCAATGCGGCGCCGGACTTCCGCGGCCGACCTGCACAAGCCGAGCGGCTGAGCGGTCGGGACCAGAAAACACTGCGCGACAGCAGGGAGGACCGAAGGCTGTACAGGCGTTGTTTGCTGAACCATTCAGCGCCCAGTCCTCAGCGATCCGCATCACAGTGCCGGGGGGGGGGGGAGCCGAGCGACTGTGACCCAAAGCGCGACTGCACGGTGCCGCCTCATGAAGCGAGGAACTCCGCTGGCGTGGGGAGCATCGCCGTCGGATGGTGATGGGCGGCACGCGTGGTGGTGGTGTCGACTGCGCTGCCTGCCTGGGGGAGCCCGCTGTCGTGAAGCTGAGGTGGCCAGCCAAACCCAGACCGACGCATAGCGCTTCCCCTGGGCCCTAGCGCCAACACGCACAACGTGCCCCCCCTGGGCCGTGGTAGCCGTCGCTGGGAGCAGAGCAGGACCACGAGCAACACGGACCACGGCGTAAACAGGGAGGGGGGGGTCTCAGCACCGACGCAAATGCAGCGTCAGGCGAGCCCCGGAGCCACGGGCGGGGGACACCCACCGGGCCCGGGAGGGGAGAGGCGAGGGGACGCAACGCGTCTTCCTCTTGGATCGTCCTGGGGGTCGCAGCTAATCGCCGCTAGCACTACTAGAGGGGATACGCGAAGCGTCGATAATTTTTCTCGCGACGCGAGACACGGCGACGGCGACAACGACGTCGACGACGATGACGACGACGTCGACGACGATGACGACGACGACGCACGACGGCGACGACGATGAGAGCGACGATGGGACAACGACGACGGCGGCTACGACGCACGAAAACGACCAGGCGGCGACAGAAACGGCGACGACAGAAACGGCGACGACGACGTCGACGCACGGAACCCGCGCGGCGAAGGCCAGGAGCGTCTTCCTCCCGGAGCTCGTCGCGGTTGATGCCCGCCGCCTTTGCCTTGGCTGCCCGCTGCCGCAGAGTGCAAGCGCGCGCTGCAGGCGGGCAGGGATCGGCGGCTCCTCCTCCTCCCCCATTTCTTCCCCTTGGAAGTGCTTAATATCGTAAGCCCGGGCGTGTCGGTAGGACGGACAAGGCGTTTTTCGCCTGAGACTTGGTAGCAAGTTCGGAGCGTGATGTTTGACGCTTGCGGCGGATTCAAAATCGGAGGGCGCGTGGTTTTCAATATATGGCTCTCGCCGTGGCGCCGCGCACTTTCGTCTGAAAAGTGCTCAGCGGTCTCAAAACTGGAAGGCACGTTGTTTTGCAAAATCTGGCTCTCAACCTTACGCAACGCATATGGGCCTTAAGACTTTGCAGCAAATTTTCTAAGAACATGTGGCAGCTTTTAATACATGGTTCTGGCCTCCGCGCCGCGCACATTCTTTCCAACAGGAACCGTTAAATGGATGGATCGCGTTCGTTGGAAAAATCCCACCAGCCCTCTGGGCGTCGGTAGTTTGGAGAGTTTCCTCTTCCACCCCTCCTTCTTCCCCTTCGGGGAGGGGTTTTCCCCTCCCCCTATCCCCTCCCGTGGACCTGAACGGGGGGGGGCGCGAGGTGTCAGGGCGTCCAAATCGGCCTCGGCGAGGAAGCCAAAATCAGTGGTTTTACTACTGTGTTGGCCCCATGTTGGCCTCCTGAGGGGGGGCTGTAATTAGTACCCCCCTCCCTCCTGTGATCGATCTCACCCAAGATGGCCCAAAGATGGCCCCCAAAGGTGCCCCAAGAGGGCCCCAACAGGAAGCCAAGAGGCCCCAAGGATGCTCCCAAGAGGCTCCCAAGAGACCCCCAAAGGCCCCAAGAGAGCACCCCAGAGGCACCCGAGATGATCCAAGAGGCCTCGGCGAGAATGCCAAATTATTGTGTTTACGAAGGTTTTAGCCACATGTTGGCCTCTTGGGGGGGGCACCTCCAAGAGCGCCTGGGAGAGCCCACGATGACCTTCAAGATGGCTCAAGATATCCCAAGATGTCTCATAATGGCTTCCTATGTGTGCTGCCCACCTCCCTGATCGAGGCAATTCCTCTGGGCATCGTTTCTGGATGGGCTGGTGGGGATTCGCGAAGCGTCAACCATTAGGTGTTCCCCTCAGAAGCCGCGCACATTCGCTTTAAACGTTTGCAACATGTACAGAGATTGCGGGGGGTAATATTCAAGACGGGATTATCACTGTAGCGCCGTGCAAATTCGCTCCGCATTCATTCAATCATGTAGAAGCGTGTGCGGTTCCTTTGAGAATGGTGTTCTCGCCTCAGCGTCGGCACATCGACCCCCAAATCCTGCAACAAATGCAAAGATGTAGCACACACTGTTTTCAAAATGGGGCTTTCGCTTCAACGCCGCGCACATGTGTGGCTTCCGTCATGGAACATGTAACATAATAGAAGACTATGTTTTTCAACGTAGCGCCCTCGATCGCGACTTGGCTGACGTAGACAAACCGGCACGTCCACGCATGTCCCACCCTCATTTGCGCGGGTAGGGCGGACAAGGCGTTTGGCCTGAGACTTGCTCACCACTTATGGATCTGAAGCTTAACGTTTACGGCAGATTCACGGATGGAAGGCGGTTGGTTTTCAAAATGTGGCTCTCGCCGAGGCGCCGCTCACATTCGTCTGAACAAATGCAACAAACTCAAACCTGGAAGGCCACGTCGTTGTTCAAGCTGTGACTCTGAACGGAACGCCGCACATATGAGCCCGAAAACCCTGCAGCAGCTTCGAAGCTGGAGGGGGACAACTTTTGAAAATGTGGTTCTGGCCTCCGCGCCGCGCCTCTGCGCTTCAACGCCACCCATGGAAAAGAAAGAGGCACGGGTCGTTAACAAAATGCGGTTTCCGCCTTCGCGCTGCGCACAGTCGTCTTTCAGGCTTCGGCAAGTATAAGCATTGAGGGGGGTCATTTTCAACACGAAGTTATCACGCCAGCGCCGTGAATATCCCTTCACCTCTCATGCACTCGTTTAGAGCGTGTGAGTTTCCTTTTCAGGATGGTGCTCTCGCCCAAACGCTGGCACATCCACTTCGAAAGCCTGTAGCAGATGCAGAGATTCAACACATTCGTGTTCAAAACGGGGCTCTCGCTAAAGCCGCACAAGTGTTGCTTCCGTCACGCAACGCTTGAAAGAAAGGACAACGCGTCTTTTTCAACGTAGCGCCCTTGATCGCGACTTTGTTGAGTTAGACAAGCCGCAACCTTCACAAGGCCCATAGGGTGCTCCACCGAATGCCCCAATGGGAACATTTGCATGGCACCGCCATAGTACCTCCGCCCCATGCCGGCACACCCTTCACACGTGTCGTGGCCTCCTAGGGGGCTCCGCCGAAAGCGGTGCCCACAACGATGTACCAACAAGTGCAGATGGTTGGGCCCTTCGCCAAAATAATTCAACGTAGCGTTCTCGATCGCGATTTCGTTGGGTTAGACAAGCTGCAACGTTCGCAGATGTCGCGCCCCCAGACGCGCGGGTAGGGCGGCCAGGGCGTTGGGACTGAGACTTCCTCACCATGTATGGCCTCCTCCTCCTCCTCCTCCTCCTCCCTCCTCCTCCTCCTCCTCCTTCTCCTCCTCCGCCTCCTCCTTCTCTTCCTCCTCCTCCTTCAACTTCTCCCGAAACTTGATGTTTGTAGCAAGCGTAAGGCTGAAGGGCGGCTGGTTTTCAAAATGTGGCTCTCGCCGTGGTGTCGCGCAGCTGCGTCTGAAGATTTCGCAGCGGCCTCAGACCTGGAAGGCCACGTCGTTGTTCAAGCTGTGACTCTGAACGGAACGCCGCACATATGAGCCCGAAAACCCTGCAGCAGCTTCGAAGCTGGAGGGGGACAACTTTTGAAAATGTGGTTCTGGCCTCCGCGCCGCGCCTCTGCGCTTCAACGCCACCCATGGAAAAGAAAGAGGCACGGGTCGTTAACAAAATGCGGTTTCCGCCTTCGCGCTGCGCACAGTCGTCTTTCAGGCTTCGGCAAGTATAAGCATTGGCGCAGGAGTCAAAACGGGGTTCTCACATTAGCGCCGTGCATATCCCTCGACAAATCATGCAGTCGCAAGCGCTGGCACGTCCACTCCGAAATCCTACAGCTTAGGCACACAGTTAGCACCATCTCGTTTCAACATGGGGCTCTCGCGACAACGCCGCGCACATGTGGTGCTTCCTTCACGCAGCATGAACAGGATGGGCGACTCATATGTTTGAACGTAGCGCCGTCGATCTCGACCTTGTTGATGCAGACAAACCGACACTTCCTCACATGTTTCAGCCCCAGACGCGACGGTTGGGTGAACAAGGCGTTGTGCCTGAGACTTTCTCACCATTTATGATCCTGAAGCTTCACGTTTGCGACATGTTCAAGGATGGAGGGCGGGTGATTTTCAAACTGTGGCTCTCGCCGTGGCGCCGCGCACCCTGGTCCGAAAAGATCGCAACAGCCTCAAAACTGGAGGGCGTTCCGTTTGACAAAATGCGACTCTCGTCGGAGCGCTGCGCATATGAGCCTTTCAGCTTTACAATGGCTTCAAAGACGGAGGGTTAGGGGGTCACATGCGAACCCTACCCCTACCCCCAACGAGTTCTGAGGGGGAGGGTGGGGTTCACTTCGTTCGGGAGCTCCCACACGAAGTGAACCCCACCCTCCCCTCAGAAATCGTGGGGGGTAGGGGTAGGGTTCGCATGTGCCCCCCTAAGGGCGGCAGCGTTTCAAAATGTGGTTCTGGCCTCCGCGCCGCGCACATTCGCTTCAACATCAGCTGTTAAGAGATTGGAGCACGGGTCGTTTTCAAAGTGCGAGGTTTGCCTTCGCGCTGCGCACAATCACCTTAAACGCTTGCAGCCAATACAAGAATTGCTGGGGGGGCAATTTTTTGTTAGGGGATTGTCACCTTAGCGCCGTGCATAGTCGTCTCAACATCGTGCAAACGTGTGTGCTTCCTTCTCAACGTGGTGCGCTCGCCTCAGCGCCAGCACATCAACCTCAAACTCCTGCAGCACATACAGTGGTTGAATCTTATTTGTTTTAACTATAAAACTCTCGCCGTAGCGCCGCTTTCCTGCGTCGCTTCCATCATGCAATATGCAAAAGATGGAAGACTATGATTCCCAAACCTCCGTTGTTGTGTTATTGTTCGTGCTCTTCGAGTTCCCAGAACCCCATTCCCGGGCCACATGTTGAATGCCCGCAGCCAACTGTAGGCCACTTCGTGCTCTTCGAAATCCCAGAACTCCATTCCCGGGCCACATTTTGAATGCCCAGAGCCAACGGTAGGCCACTTCGTGGTCTTCGAGTTCCCAGAACTCCATTCCTGGGCATGAGTTTGAATGCCCGGAGCCAACTGTAGGCCACTTCGTGTTCTTCGAGTTCCCAGAACTCCATTCCCGGGCCACATTTTAAATGCTGAGGCAGGCTGATGCAGACTGAGGCTGAGGCAGGCTGAGGCTGAGGCCGAGGCTGAAGGCAGACTGAGGCTGAGGCTGAAGCAGGCTGAGGCTGAGGCTGAGGCAGGCTGAGGCTGAGGCTGAGGCAGGCTGATGCTGAGGCAGGCTGAGGCTGAGGCTGAGGCTGATGCAGGCTGAGGCTGAGGCAGGCTGAGGCTGAGGCCGAGGCTGAAGGCAGACTGAGGCTGAGGACGAAGCAGGCTGAGGCTGAGGCTGAGGCTGAGGCTGAGGCTGAGGCTGAGGCAGGCTGAGGCTGAGGCTGAGCAGGCTGAGGCAGGCTGAGGCTGAGGCAGGCTGAGGCTGAGGCCGAGGCTGAGACTGAGGCTGAGGCTGAGGCTGAGGCTGAGGCTGAGGCAGGCTGAGGCAGGCTGAGGCTGAGGCAGGCTGAGGCTGAGGAGGCTGAGGCTGAAGGCTGAGGCCGAGGCTGAAGGCTGAGGCTGAGGCTGAAGCAGGCTGAGGCTGAGGCTGAGGCTGAGGCTGAGGCAGGCTGAGCTGAGGCTGAGGCTGAGGCTGAGGCTGATGCAGGCTGAGG